TATACTCTCTGTAATACAAGAAACGTTTTCTATCAAAGCTCGAAGTCTCTTTCCGAAATCAGCTCTCCTCTACTTTATAGCTAAGGTCTGCTACTCGGATTTAATAGGTACATTCGTGATATTAGTAATCCTTACTCCTATCATAAGAGGTTCCTCTTATATAGTAGGGAGACAAGTTTGAAAGAGCTTATTCTATCGTTTCGGGGGTAGAGTAATAGTCTTTTACTATTACGGTTGCGGTTTTTCACGCGGTATCTCTAATATTATAGAGACGCTTCTATGAATTATAGGAAGATAAATTGTTAAAGGTGTAATAGGTAATTATATAGTCCTTTATATAGGTGTCTATATAGGAAGTGTCTTCACAATCTATCGTTATATCTCCTTAGGTTTCGAGTCCTTATCTTTGTGATTAAACGAGATAGGTATAAATCTAATAGCGTTATCGTTGTTATTATCTAGATCCTTAGGACTGGGTATAGGCTATACCGGTATTAGTCCTATACCGTCTTTATCACTAGGCTAGGGAAAACTAATATCTCGGGAAACCACTACCTTTCTCGCGGTAGGATCCTATACTTTAAAAATATGACCACTATCCCCCTTATAGCCTATAAACATACCTTTCTAAGCTCTAAGAGCTACTTTCCTAGCCTATATACACTTAGCCTTAGGAATATATACGTATACGGTGGATCCCTATAGTCTAAGATACTTTAAAGAAGGCTCTAGATTTAAAATATCGAGTTCCTAATACTAGTACGTTAGCGGAGAGATCTTAGTCTTCGGATTAACTAGTCTATTATAGATATAAATAGTAGTCTCTATCGCGTATAGCTATATTTCTTCCGGTATATTAGTATCTAGAATTATTATATATTATATATTATTAATATATCTACCGAAACGCTCTACTATACTATTCGGCTCTACGGTATATAGAGGTGTGATCTTAAAAGTTATTCCTCGCTTCTTATCCTATTTAATAAACTCTTTAAATTCTATACTACTATCTATTCTCTAGATACTAGGGTATCTACTAGTGAGTAGCTTCATTTTCTTATAAAAAGTAGTGAGCTTATAAAAAGTATCGCTTTTAGTCTTTAGTATAATCCTCTTAATTAGATAAGTAGTGTTATTAATAACTAGTAACTAGTAGTTCTCTCCGTTTAGCCCTATAGGCTTTATTAGTTAGGTATCGATATAGAATTTCTATACTACGTCTTATACTCTGGCCTATGGTTCTCGAGATATCTTTTACTTTGATTTGCTACGAAAATAGGCGTTATAGTTAAAATACTCTATACTATACTATTCGTATTTATCTAGCTACTCTATATACTCTAATATAGTAGTAATATAAGCTTTCCCGGTATATCCTAGACGATAGTGCACTTCGTAGGCTATTACTTTATTAATAAGTCCGGTATTGTTATCGTCCGAGTTAGAATTAGAATCAATCTTATTAGGATTATAATCAATCTCTTTCGGATTAATAAGATATAGAACGCCGTCCGATATATCTATATAGCTAAGAATAACTCTAAAGCTATTTATTAAGTGTTTAGTGCGTATATCGTATAAGATATCTTACTCTTCTAGAAGCTTTACTATATTAATAAGCTTCCTATAACCTCTAGGGCTATAGTATCCGGTTATTATAAAAGTGTATATCTTTCCGCCTAGCCTAGGGAGAGTAGCTCTTACTATAATTTCTCTATAGCCTAGTGTAATCACCTTATTACCGGAGTAGTCTCTATATATATATACCACGTTAGAGTAATCTATTTAATATATATAGAAGTCTTTAAGATTATATATTATTATCCTAGTAGATCCGGTATCGAGTAACTAATCGTTCGTCCTATTGATAGAGCTAGAGCTTATAGCGGCGACGACTATATTATTCTAGCCTTTAGGATACTAAGCTTTTTAAATTTGTTTTGAATAGGCCTATAGATTGCCTAACGGTTCCTATAAAGCTAGTAGGCTATTACTAAGATATATATATCTCTTAGTAGGGTATAGACCGAAACTATAGAAGGCGTATATCTCGCTATTATCCTTCTATTTACTATTATATATTTCTTGTGTGTAATTATAAATGTCTTTGCTATTAGTAGGCTGCTTATAAAGGCCTTTCTTCTTCTTTTTACTACTATTAGTATTACTATTATTATCGACTATATTAATATCTTTAGTAGGCTAGGTGTTATTATTGTTATTACTATTATTATAACTACTTTAGCTACCTCGGTTTCCTCTATAACTACCTCTTCTACTTCCTCGGCCTCTACCTACGGACTAAGCTATATTTATAATACCTTCTATATTAGCTATAGCTTATAGTGCTCTCTAGTATTTTTCTACTTTATTATAGCTTAGTTTCTTAGGTATAAGACCTATAACTTCCTCCTTAATAAACTATACTTTCCTAATTTCGAGTTCTAGATTTTTAAGGACTTATAATAATATATGAACTAGATAGGGTTCTACTTTAAATCTAGTAAGGATATAGTATTGTTTTTAGTACTCCTTAATATACTCGCTTACCGAGTTATAGTCCGATCTCTTTATCTTATCGAACTTACGTATTTCTAGAAAAGCTGTCTAGATCCGGTCGCTTCTTTACGTTATCGTTATAAGTTCGTCGTATAGGCTGTCTACGTACTTTAGTATCTTTAATAAATTCCGGAGCTTATTCTAGAGTATTATATCGATCTAATTATATATCTAACTAGCGATAAGATAAGACTAATACTTCTATCTTTTATACGAAAGGTACGATTTCGAGGGACGAGGTATCTCGCTATTAAATAACCATTCTAAAGCGTAGGGGGATTAGCTAATAAGCTAAAGCCTACTTCTATCCGCTAGGGTCTATATCGTTATATTATAGCATCCTAACTTTCTATATCTTCGTTATCGCGATCTTAGGTAGACTATATCCTTAGTAAGACGGTTTCTTATCTTTGTTATCACTGTTATTATTAATGTCGGTAAATCGGATCGGGTTGTTTAATGATAGGATTGGATCATTTCGTGATCGAGGAGCATTCGTAGTTTACGTCTGTAAAGCGGGGTTTATAGGATTTAACGGGTTAGCTATCGTATCGAGAGGGTGAGGGTTAGTGTCCCCCTTATTATCCGTGTCGACGTTAGCTATGGTTGAATAAAGCTAAACGGAGCTTTTGCCGGCGGGCCGAAGGATTCCTGGACTTGATTGGTCTGATCCGGGTCCGTGCAGAATTTTCACGTATAAAAGTGGGGTTTCTACGGGGACGGGATCGACGACGAGGTCCGGGTGAAAGCTTCAGAAAAACGAGTTGCTAGTGGTCCGAACTAGCAAGAGAGGCTCATAACCTCATGGAATACAGATACAGGGTGAATCAGTATGAGAAACAACGTATGTATTCAGGGTGGACAGGGAGGAGAAGGAGAGAGAGAGAGGGGAGAGAGACTATGTGGTTCTATCTACATGGTGATGCCTGAGGCATCCAACAACCTTTAACATCGTGAGGGACTGTCATACCTTGATAAACCTCTATAGCGGTGCGGACAGATTTATTGGTGATCTGAGCCTAGTCGCAATAATATATCGTGAGATAGTGGTCGAGCTCCAGCCCTCTTCTTGTATTTTCCGCGAATGGGATAGTCGAGAATATATGATTTTCTGGGCTAAGGTTTAGGTCAAAATTGGGATAGTGGAAGCCCTATTCTTGGGAGGATATAGGGGCCTAGATTAGCCTTGGTTGGTGTGTGTCCCTAGGGAACCAGATGCCGAGTCTATGATCTTTAGACGGGCGAGTATCTAGGAATTTGAGATACTGGGAACACAAAAGTCTGTGAGCCGGCCAGTCGAGCTTTTGGCACTGTTTGGAACAATACCATATGGCTAGACATCGAGTACATCTCCTCGCATATGAAGATTGGCACAGTATATAAAGCGTCCTTAAGTCCTAGTACCAAATTTCCGGCGGGCCGACCGATCTAGGATTTAGGCTGTATGACTGTTAGGGAAAGGCTCTTGTGCTTGGTTTAAGATATTCTTATAGGATTTGCATCTGCTCACGTAACTCCTGGCCTTTCTTATTGGCAATCTCTCTTTTCTTCCTCTGTAGCGTAATTTCAAGCAAATCCGAAGTCTTTAGGACAGATACAGTAGAAGATTGATCGATAGCAACTGGCGGAGGGGTTTTATGTGGCTCGAGTCTCGCTCTTATCTTCTGTTTTACCAATTCGCACAAGTCTTTTAGCCTTTGTCTTATGCCTTCGGTATTGTCCGAGTGAACGGCCCATTGAGGATGGCACTTTCCGTGTCGGCCACGGGTGCGGAATTTTAACGACGATAGGGCCAGAAATGACTCGTAAAGATAACAAGCCTTTTTACTACACCTAAAATAAGCTAGTGTCGGGCCTAGCGACGGTTGTGTCTTATAGCGTGTTAAAAGCTGTATTTCACAATGTATAAAGAGGTTGCGGCGGCATTTCTTTCTAAAAGCACGATTTTTGCAAAGTAGGGTAGGCGGAATACGCCCTTTTGGGCTGGAAGGCAGACCTAAGAGCTTCTAAGCTTGCCGAATGGTTGGAATTTGGTGATTATGGAGTTTGAACGAGGAGGGTGGTGATAAACAAATGAAGGTAACAGCCCGGAAATTTGGGAGTAGCCGCGCTATTTGGGAGAGAATTTGGAGACTAGTTACTGGTCTCGCTAGAACACGCCACATTCGAATGACCTTATGTGGATCAATAGAAGGAACCATTCCCTCTAGTGCCTCCCGTGCAGCCCGTGCGGTCTGTGGTGGTTGAGTAGTGGTAGCTGCCAGCTCCACTATCTTGCGCCTTTGGTCATCTCGATCCTGTGCGGTCGACGATGCTGAGCGCCACAAATCAAAATTCAAGAATTCTAGAAGGAGAGTTTGCGTTTTGGTAGAGACTGGCTCCTGTGCAGCGGGGCAGTAGCTAAGGAGACATGTGTTTGTAGTATATTCTCCTGATTGCTATTGCTGTGAAGGCCGGTATGGCGACCCTTGAAAAAGTTTAGCCATGGCTTCAGCCTGGCTGTCCACTCTTTCTGTACTGTAAGCAATAGTCCGTTCCAAAAGTGCGTGGGAGGATTCAGCGAGCATTCGAGGCGAGATATCTGAACTTTATGGTTAGAGCAGGCCCTATTCAGAGTGGTTGGCCTTACCGTTAGCTTGCAAGGCGAGAAAATGCTTCAATAAACCTAAATAGGTTCGGTCCTCCGCGTCAAGGCTATTGTTTTGAGCAATATCAACTTCAACTTCGTCTTCTTTTTCCCTGAGCGCAGCAGCTGTGACGAAGTTTCCCCCTTTGGTGTGCGTAAGAAGTTCACAGACACAATCGAGGAACTTCCGTCGGAGCGCCTCGCTGTTAGCTGTCAGGAGTTCAGCATCTATGCTATCAAAATCTTGGTCCAGATCATCGTCAGAGTACACTGCGTCGTTATTATTGACTTCCTGGTCAGATTGTAATGGCTCTTCTGGTGCGGTAATGGTGTTTGAGTTGAGGAGCGATAGGATGCGTGATGCCTAGACAATGTGGGCTAACTCATCTGAGACTTGGAGGCTTGGAGAGTCTATAACTAGAAATCAATAGACTGGATAAGGGATATTGATAAAGTTAAAATAAGTTTGTGACTGTCTAACCCAACTTCCATAATGTTCCGCAGGCACCCACAATAGCCGGCGGGGTACTAAGCCTTATCCCTGTCTATATCTTAATAAGCCTGATGGCTGCTGAGCCTGCGCATGCTTGCTAATATATGCCGCCGATTCCTGCTTACTATCACAGGGGTAGTAAACAATTCAGATCTTTTGCCATTTTCCATTGGATAACCTGCTATTACGGGAACCACCGACTCCGACAAATATTTATAGAACAGATTCTATACGGTGTTTGTGGTATAGTCCCGTCACAAACGATGTGTAAAATATACAAGTAACGGGCTAAGCTCATAGTGGACTAGTTCTAGAAAGTCGCGTTGAGAAAGAGCGAAAGAGTGTGAATCTTGTAGAAGCCGAACTTGTCAGCTATTATACTGTACCATAATTTAGGAGGGGCACCCCAGGTGGCATGCGTATAGCACTTTCGTGCAAAATACTGTCTAGAAAGCGGTCTGAAAGCGGGGCACTCAGGGACTATCCAATAAGGGCTCATATCTGTCGGATCTATTTTCCGGGAATCAAGTCGCAGGAGTGCAGGGGTATAACTGAATTCGAATACTACTGTAGGTCCCCATCAAGACGCGCATTCTACGCCAAAACGGAACTCGCATCAGAGCCACTGGTCATCCGAGTAGCGGTTCTAGTTATTGCATAGCCGCGTAGCTAGGGCAGACACTGTAAATGCTATATATATAGAGATATATGTATAGAGATAAATATTTGGGTCCCCGACTTGACCGTGTAGAACGATTAATGTGTGAAATTATAGAGAGCTTGCCTAATATATAAGCTAGAGATCTACCACTATTACTATACTATCGCTTCCCTAACTAAATATATATTGTACGTAAGTCAAATATATATAAATTTATAAACTCGTCTAATTAATACTATCCCTAGGCCTAAATAATTTAACAATCGTAGAGTAGCACGATATAAGAAAGTCTCTTTCGCATTCACGCTAGTGATATAGAAAATGTCAGCGAGAGAGAAGGCTACGCAGGAATGAAATGATACAGGGGAAACTGTATTGGACTCTGGGGAGGAAAAGAGAGGAGAGAGGAAGCTATCTCGACTAACTACTGGAAGTCCTATGAGACGGGATCACGTGACTGGCATGTAATAGGTCACGTGATCTCTAACACCCCCTTTAGGACTGACTACTATAATATAACCTTTTTGACTCTCTATATAAAAACCTCCTATTGTTTTTATTAATTTCTACTATTTTCCTACGCTTTTATAAAATCTCCTTTCCGCCTAGAAATTTTATATATAGATCAATTAAGACCTAGTATCTAGATAAAACGCTTATATTAATCCTTCTTAAGCGGCTTTATAAATCTATCGGTAATATTATTCTTTGTATCGATTCTCTATAGATCGATTTTACCTTAAAAAATTGTATCTTTAATAAAAAACCACCTTATATTAAGCTAATAAGTGCTATTCTTATACGATTTCTTTCCTATTAGTAACTAGGTATTAATATTATCGGTTAAGATCACGATTAGTTCTCTAGCGTTCTATAGATTAAAAGTAGTAGTTATCTTCGAAAACCACTATATATCTTATATAGGTCTATCTAATACGTACTATTCTATAGCGGTAGACGATAGTATTATAATAGTTTATTTTCTAATATACTAGTATATTAGGGCTCCTCTAAAGAACTAAATTATATCTTCTATAGATTTAGTATTATACTAATTATTATATAAGGCGTCTATATATATAAAGAACGTTATATTAGAGACTTTTCTAAGAGTAATATAGAGCTTAGTTATCCCCTTTAGATATTTATAAACTATATATATAGCTTCTATATTATTTATTATAGATAAAGCTATATAGTATTAAAGCTTTATAATAGCGAATTTAAGATCCGGTCTTATCTCGATAGCTAGCTAGTTAAGCCTACTAATAAGAGATCTATATTATATATATTTATCTTTATAAAGAAAAGTCTCCGGATCTTTATTATCTATTTCCTACTTTCTATTTAATAAAAGTGGGATAGGAAGTGGTATATATAACTATATTTTAATAAGTTATAGTGCTTTAAGACTATATACCTTCTATAATATCTAGATTATCTTCTTCTTATAGTCTTAAAGAATAGCACTACTAAAGAAGCGAGAAGGCTCCCCTATATCTTTAATTTCGAACTACTATTTTACCTTTTAAAAAATCTAATCTACCTCTCTATCTATTAGAGCGGTAGTAATAAAGTCGTTAATATATATAAGTAAAAACTATATAGAATTACTATATTTCTTTATATATATATATAGATTATTATTAAATATATAGAAACCGACTATATTTAGCCTAGTATTAAGCTCTTTATTCTAGAGAGCTACTAAGTTATAAAGTCTATATAGGGCTTATTTTAACTAGTAGACCTAGGCTTTTACTTTAATATCTAGCTTTTAATACTCGAAGCCGATAGGTTAAATAATAAAGACTATCTTATAGTTCTCCTATAAGACGTTAAAGTATATAGTAACTATATCGAACTAATACTATTTATAACCTTATTAAGCGATAAGAGTAAAGACAATTTTTACTAATATATTCTAGATAACCGGGGTATAGAAGATAGAATCTTCCTTCTTTATCTAATAGTTTCTATATACTATCTATCTAGCTTTAAAGCTATAAACTTTATTATCTTTAGTAACTTTTAAATTATATACCTATTAACTAGGTAATAGTATAATATTTTATAGTTTTTATATAATATCGAAAGTTCCTTTTATATATAGGTTATCGATTTAGCTTTCTATAGTAGCTTACTATCTATTTATATATTTCGATTTTAGAGCTTATTTATAAGACTAAGGGATTTTAACGTTTTTAATATATAGTGGTCTACTATTATAAATAAAAGGAGTGCTCTATTTAGTAATAACCTTTAAGACTATAATTCTCCCTTTCTATATATCCTATTATTCTTCTTACGCCTATTTTTATCCTAATCCCTTACTTATACTATTATTACTTTATAGAACGTCTAGTCTTATATATACTCGCTTTGGTTAATATAATCTTAGAGGATTTAAAAGATAGAAGGGGTTATTAAGAAAGTTATAGCGTTCTAATAAGCGTCTAATTCGGCTCGAACGGTATAGAATAAACTACTCTAGTAGGATAGATCCTATTTTAGTAATAGAATTATCTATACTAATTATAATAATAGACGGTTCTCGATTTATTATTATTAGTTCGGGTTTAATTATAATTTAATTATAATTAATTATAGAATAATTAGGTTCGATTAAGATTAGATTATATTTAATTTCGATTAGATTTATAATATAAGAAATCTCTATTTATAGAGTCTCTTCTCTAAAAGCTTTAGGTAAATAGTATAGGGAATTAGAGACTTCTTAAGATATAGGATCTTCTATATTATAAGTAGCTCGCTATATCTAATACTCGTCTTCTTAAGCTTTTATTAGCTCCTACTATTTCTAAATCTAAAATTAATAAATTAAAAGAGGTGCCTAAAGTAAAGCTTCCCTCTATAAAAATAGAATATACTATCGAATTTATACTTTTTAAAAAATAATATTATCGTCTCGTTTAATAGACTAGTGAATAGTGACTAGAGACTCTAGAATTATTTTAAATACTATAGTCTTTAGAGCCTATTTTCTTAGCTATAATAGTACTAGTAGAAGAACTAGGGCTTCTATATTAAGCTAATTTATATACTAATAGATTATATTATAAGCCTAAGGCTATAATATAGGGTATTAGGTAGTTTATTTCGGTATAGATTACCAAATAGCCTATTATTTAGGCTTTTAGAAAATAGACTAATAAATTAGGGTATTATCTTTAATCTTTTAAATCCTAAATAATACTTTTAGTATAGGAGGTATAGTCTATACTTCGGTATAGGCTACTAAATAGCCTATTATTTAGGCTAGTATATAGCCTATATTTTAGACTTCTAAAAAATAGGTTAATAAACTAGGGTATTATCTTTAACCTCTTAAATTCTAGATAATACCTTTAGTATAGGAGGTATAGTCTATACTCTTCCTAGTATATTTAGTCCTACTAATACCTATCTCTACTAAATTATAGGTTTTATTAGGTTTTAAATTACGGGTTCTTGCTATCTACTAGTGATTATAACTTAGGGTATTAGCTTCGGCTTTTTAAATAAGAGTTTACCTTCCTCTAGCCTCTATACTAGACCTATATCTTTATAGAGAGCTCCGGTATTATTATTATCTAGATTAGGGCCTTTTAGTACCGGCTTACTAGCTAATAAAATACCCCCTTTCTAGTTATTATCTAATCCTTTATTCTTATCGAGCTTATTAAGAAAGGTAATATCTTATAAATATAGAATCTCCTTTATAACTAGGTTCTATACTTTAAAAATATAGCCGTTTTCCCTTTTATATCTAATTAAATAGCCGCGGAATATATAAGCTCTCGATTTCTCTAACTATATATAAGTCTCTTTTAGAATATAGATAAATATAATAGACCCCTATATATAAAAGTACTTTAAATTAACTTTTATCTCTTCTAGACTAAAGCTTTCTTACTAGATAAGGATTAGGGTCTTACTAGTTTTAGGGTTAATTAGTCTATTATAAATATAGATCGCTATATCTATATAAAATAGCTAAAATATATCTAGAAGCTTAGTATCTATATTTATTATATACTAAGTCTAGTTAATATAACTTTCTATACGCTCTATAATACTATTTAGTTCTGGTATATAGATAGATATAAGCTCGAAAATCATACCTTTATTCTCTACCTATATCTAGAATTTATAAAACTCTATTCTACTATCGATTTATTAGATAGCTAGGTATTAACTATAAAGAAGCTTCTAATATTTATAAAATTTAATTATATAATCGGCGATTTCGTCTTTTATTCGAAAATAGAGACCCTTAGTATATTAAGTATAATTATCGATAATTAGTATCTAATATTTCTTACTATTAAAGTTAGAGGGATCTATTATCTAGGTATTAGTATAAAACTTTATACCTAGCTTTTCGATATATTATTATTTAACTTTTAAGATCTTTTTCTTTATTTTACTAAACTAGTAAGCTTTATAGTTAAAATTATAAAGCTCCACTTAGTCTCCTTTATTAAGAAAGATTATATTAGCTAAAGA